TATCTCAAAAAGTAAGAGTCATATATCAAAATGAAGTTGATGATCATTGAAAAGTAGATGGTTTTGTCACTGTAACTGATTCTTGATTTTTTAGATGTTATGAGACTAACTGTAGTCAAGGTCATTTATGGACGAGGCGCTATCATTGAGACCATTAACCCTTTAACGCCAAATGGTATACTAGTGGTCAGCATACCATAGTTTTAAAAATATTTAATTGAATGTCCAGCAGAAATCAAGGTGTATCGTGAACTTAAAGAATAAGAGTCAAAATAATCTTGATAAATACTAGGTGACGATAATAATTTAGCTAAATTCAACAGAAAAAGATTTAGGAGGAAGAGTGATCAAAGATTTAGTTAAGTTATTTAGAACTGATGTCACATCTGGGCTTATTGACGCATTACAAAACTATCATGTATTCAATCGCCTTCCAACTCAAACGAAAATAATTAATTTACCAGTTTATGGCACTTGTAGATGATCAGTGAAGCATAAAAAGTTAAAAGCCTAGAACAAGCTTGTAATGTGCCACTTCGCATTAATTCCGAGGGAACTGTTTTAAGTTATACCATGAGGTCTATTCACCTAGTAGTAGTGTCATATTACACAAAAAATTGTTTAAGTTGGGAGTTTTTATGAATTATAATTTTGCATTTTGTTAATTTTGTTATTTTTTGGTTTGTTCGACTACAAAGGATTAAAAGTAAAATACAAATGTAGCGTCTCGGCTTCGAACAACCTTAGATATGATTTCTTTCAATAGTTAAAGACAAACCAATGCTACTTTAACATATAAATAATTATTATGTATTAAGATAGCGAAGATTTATTTTCATTAATCATGAGAAAATAAAGCCGAGGTTGCTTGTGGCCGAGGCGCTACAATTAAGATCATCAACGATTAATGATGGTCAAGGTTTAGATGTATATTTTTTGTAACCGACTATATACGTCATAATAGTTATGCATCCGCCGCAAAAGACCTAAACTACAATTTTTCTTGGTCCTCAAAAACAAAACTTGACGTTATTAATATATTAATAAATATGATATATCAACATAAAGAGATTTTTAGTACAGATTTTCAAACTTTTCGGAGAAAAAGAGGAGATCGTCGTTGTTATGAACAAATCAATAACTCTTTTCTGTTAAAGATGGCCGGCTTCAGTGCATTTTTAATAATTTTCTGGAGAAATGTTTAATCATTAACATCAAAAAAATCTTTCCACTTCATTGAACTGCTTCAACAACAACGCATATGATAAGAAATTAACTCAAATTTCGTTTATAGGGGTTGAGTAACGTAATAAAGTTACTCCCTTTTCCGATTTTCGTTTTTCTGTAGTGAAGCAATGAGGCCGCCGAAACTATGAAACAACCCTATCTCAATTACTTTCTAAGATTGGAATCTCATTCTACCCGTAGATTATCAAAGAGAGCTTTACAATACCAAGAACAATGAACCTAAACTTGTGAACTTATGGGAAATTGAACCAAGAGCTGTAAGATGTTATATGTGTGCAATTATATGAAATTAACAATTAATTTTAAGTGTCGATATTTTGGCAGAAAATTGCAAAGCAGTCATGTATGTTTAGTAATGAGAATAGAAAGTAGGAATATTCAAAGAAGAATCAAAAATGATTTACTGAAGGGAATTTCCTGTCGTATTTATAAAATATTAGCTAAAATATGTTTTATTAATCTTTCCATGCCAATTTCGACGAAACATGATCATCATCTGAAGCAAAAAAATTCAAACTACAATTCAAAACTAGAACCTGATTTAAAGATCGATTAACGTAATTATTATTAAGAAACTTATTATCTTTTAGAGTATCTTTAGAAAAAGTGCCCTGTCATGTTGGTACCAATGTTCATTAACTTTGTCTAACTTTTATTAGCAGAATGGGAAACCATTTGAATAGAGGACTTCATTATTAAGAAATAACATCAACAAATTATGATGTTATGTTAAGTTGAACTTATTGAGATAGAAGCGAACTAATTACTACTTCTAATAGAAGAAAATGTGTTAGATAGTGAGGATATTAATAAAGTTATTAAATTGGCTACCAAAAAATATATGTTTGGAAGAGGAAGATAACTTTTATCCTATAGTATACCTTAAAAATAAATATAACGTTGTTGATGACACCATGAAAATCATACATGGGACTAAAACATGAAAAATAAACCACAAAATTAGGATATCATACTGATTTAGAAGATGATTAAAGTGCATGATTTAGGACAAAATTTACATAAAAATTTTTAAGTCAATCTTAGGATCCTGAGGATCTTAGAATTATTTCACTGAAGCATCTATCAAATGATGGAATAAAATGGTTTGCAAACAAAGCTGTTTCTATCAAACTTGCGTTGATATTGAACCAGTTGTAGAAGCGTAGTAATGGTCAAATTGGCAAAAAATGCGTTCTAACACCACAAACATTTTATTAGTTAATAGAAAAGTACTAACACGAAAAAGTGTCAGGATCTTTGTTCTTATAGTTATTTGGACTTTCACAACTAACAGAAACTATAGGTAGCTGGACTTAACAGCATACCAACCCAACTCAACACAACCAAACATAGCCCAACCCAATTCGATCAACCAGAACACTTCAGCGCAAGATATCCAAATTATACATGTAAATGTTATGATATATAATTTCCAAAAACAAATTCTGCACTGTGTTTTTGAGTGACACTTTTCTTCATGAACTTGTACTAATGTTAAATCAAAACAATTATGGTACTTGTATAAAATGTAAAATGTGGAAAACATTTCAGAAATGATCAGGAGTTGTGTGAACACGTTAATAAATAATAACTTAGGTCTTAACATGACAGCATGGGTAGTTTATGAGACGATGATATCTAAAATAATAAACACTATTGTTGTGCGTTTATAGCAAAATTATTCAGCTACGGCAATTCTACAAGCCAAACGGCAATTTTCCTGATTATGAAACAGTCACAACGATTTTTTCATTGGATTTCACTTCAAATATCTTAAGAAGTGTTTGTTGACATCACTGTTAAAACCATTCACTTTCTGTGTTCTAGCTCTTTTGGAAATCACTTCCCCCAAACCTTCCTTACTGATATTCCTAGTCTAAACATGTAATTAGAGAGCAAAATACAGAGTTATAGTAATCTCTCATTTAGTTGTTGCAAATTTTTAAAATTCTAAAGCATCCGTCATCATAATAACATTATTATTTGTTAAATATATAGTTAAATATTTTTGAAATACACAGATAACCAAAACTTATTATCAAATAAATCTAAATTTTCATATTTCATTCATTTCTTTTAAAACTCATCATTATTATTAATTCACCCTATATTTAACACATTTTATCGTTCTAAGAATATCCATATAAACACCCTCATCTCCAACTTCTTCATCTTTAATTTTTGAATTTTCTTTCTAAGTCCCCTTTAATACCGAATATCGATAAAGATTTTTCAATTAGATTTAAAATAAAAAATTATTAAAATTTAAATGCTTTTTTTTACAAGGAACATCACGACTTACGTTTTGTAAAATTTCGTTTATTTTTTTTTTAACTTTCATTTTACGATTTAAATTTTTTTTTGTTGCGGTTTCTTATTATTTCTCTGTGGCACTTGGCTGGGGAGATATCGTTTTATCTTTTGAATTTTTCTGTTTAGAGAAATCAACCGGTGAAAGTAAAAATCCGAGACGAACATTCGAAAATTAATTATAATACAAAACGAAATAAAAATTATGAATTAAAAAAATATTTATTTTTTGAAAAAGTTTTGACTAGAACAACGGTCGTTGTCGCGCGCGTTATCATCGAACCGTTTTGTTTTCTGTTCTATTTATTTTAAAAAAATCACAGCAACGTATAGAAAAAAAAATTAAAAAGAGAAATAGATTAAAAAAAAAGGTAATTAATTAATAATAATTAAAAAAATGTGGTGTTTGATATACACGGGCACGGAAAGGGGGTACCTATTACAATATATTTTTTTACCTTAGTTTTTTAAAAAATTATTATTCTGTAAAACGTAATAATAACCATCACAACAAGTCGAAGCGTTTCAACGTCTTGGATATCTCCCTGTTGACTATCGATTTATACTCAGGCCCATTTATTATTATTTATTTTAGACTTAATTTAGCCCGTTAACTTTTTTTCTCAAAAAATTTTTGAAACACAACCAGTTTTATTTCATATTTAAAAAATTAATAAAGAACTTTTTTATCACATGAAATAAAAAGGCCAGCAATTTATTTTCATTTTTCTTAAACAAACCTAAAATGTAGTTAGTAGTAATAGTAGTAGTAATATTTTAGTTACCGTTAAACTCCCGTTATTTTATTTTTTTTTAATATAATAAATTTATTGTTTTGTTCGGGCTTCGCGCGGTTTTCATTTCATTTTTTTTTGCTCACTATTAATAACATTCGCTCTCATCAAACACGTCAACACCTTAAAATCTAAAAAAATTGTGTGTCCACAAAAAAGTCACTCCTCAAATCACATTTTCCCGTTCAATTCTCATTACAACTTTTTTTATGATTTTCTTTTCCTCATTATTTTTTTTTTTCGTAGTTAATATTATTATACAATATTATTTCATCGTTACTTTTATGAGTAGTAATAGTTATGTATATTATTTTTTTTTTGCTTTTAAAAAAAAAATCCTATTGTTATTATTAGTAGTAATAATATAAAGTTATGCTTTTTTCATTACGTGACCGTAAACAATATAGTAGTAAATGTTTTTTATCATTTTTTTTGTCATTTTAATAATCGTAAACAGTTCGGTACGATAATAATAATAATCATAATTATAATAATATTGTTATTTTTTTAAATAAGTATTCGTTATTCATATTATTATCGTTATTATCTTATTTTCTTGAATTTTAAATAGTACTTTGCTTCCTCGTGATTTTTTTGTTGTAGTATAAGTAAATTTTTTTGTTAATTTTTTTACGAAATGTACAATAATATTTTTATATGTTATTATTATTATTTTTTTTTTTAATATAGTAGTCGAAGTAGTCGTCGTGTCTCGTTGTCGCTACTGCAGGTAAGATGCCAGGGCAGCCATGATTGGAGCAGGCGGCAGTGCTATAGGGATGTGGTAATATTTACACGTGGAACGGACGCACTGGCCCTTTGCGGCGTCCCTACAGACGGCAACGCGTTGTTCCACCACTTCCACCCCGTCCCCTACAACAAACAATTCATAAAATTACTTAACAAAAAAAAATCAAAAAATAATTAAAAGCATAAACTTGTTTCGTTCGTTCTTGTAAGCAAGTCGTTACAAGTGTTTATCGTTATCAGTTTACATCTTGTTCGTCATTTATGATTACAAGAAATATCAGCTGGTTAAATTATATGAAGGGTGCACGGAAAAAACCAGCTAAGTCCGTTTTATTCGAAATTGAGATAGCAGTATCATCTTGTGTGTAAAATATCTATACACAGGAAAAACAAGCTAACTCCGCGCGGTACAGAGGAAGAAAGAGCTATCTACGTAATAGCTCAGTTCTGCCATTGCGAATAAATAATTGTGTGAATATCAGTTGGTTGCAACTATGAAAGTGCGTAATGATAATGACTGTGATGATAATATTGGTGAAGTCATTGCGAAGACAACAAAGAAGTAACCTATACATGGGAGAATCAAAGATGCAAACAAAAAGCTGCGTTTACAAAGCCACGAGAGGGGAATTGAATGTAACTGTGAACGTTTCAATTGCTCAGCAAAACTTCTAGACGAAGCAAAACAAAACATCTTGCGAAATTTCAATAACTTGGCCTCGGTGAATGAACAAAATTTGTACTTATGTGACTTAATGAGTCTTGTACCAGTACAAAGAAAACGTCCAAGACAAGATGAACATTAAGCATCATTCATCATTCCGAGATTGTGTTGTTACCTACAAGGTAAATTATTCCAGTGAAAACCGAATGATTGAAGAGAACGTGTGCCGTCAAGAATTCATGGCACTGCATGGTTTACAAAGAGCAAAATAGAATACTTGATAAACTCTTTAAAAAAACCGGGATTACTCCAAAAGATACTCAAAGAGACTCATCTTGACTGTTCTGTAACCTATGAAAGCTATAGAACAATTTTCACGAAAAAATTCAACATCTCGTTTGGTTATCCAAGGACAGACACTTGTGGCATTTGCGATATTTTTTTAGCTAAGTTAAGATGTATGCAAAAAGATACGGAAACAGCTCAGGGAACAGAAAAAAAAACTGACAATAGAAATTAGACGCCTTACTGTAAAAAATAAGGTAGGTACACAAACATCGTGCTCAACAATTCTATGCAAGGAAACGTAAATGTAAGATTGTAAGCCGTTAGGATGTCAAAAAAGAATCTATCTGTATGGATTATGGCAAGAATTTACCCGTGCCCAATATCACTACCAACGACGTATACTATAAAAGACAACTATCCATGTGTCTTTTCAACATACACATACTCTCTACATCAAAAAGTATTTTTTACGTATGTCCAGAAAACATAGGCAAAAAGGGAAGTGATGATGTTGCCTCGCTGTTGAACGATTTTCTTTATAACCACTTTGACTCGCAAGTTTGAAATAGTTTGGACATATTTTGTGATTCATGCGGCGTATGCATTATTCCGTTTTTTTCATCATGTCGTTCATGAACAGAACTGTTTGGATGATGTAAAAGTGACCTTTCCAGTAAGAGAGCATTCTTACATGGAGAATGATAAGAATATGGGAATCATCCAGCACAAAACCAGATATGAGACTCCTGATGTGTTATGTGGTTTGATAAGGTCTTCTAGAGTTAAGCTATCTCCTTTTATTGTGACACAAATTGGCATATAAAACCAAAGTATTTTTCGCCAGTGGACCAACCACCTCACTACATTATACAAAAAAAATGTCCCTTCTCAATACGAGAAATTAAGGAGTTTGAAATGTCAAAGGAACATCCAAGCATTATTATTATATTCAAGGATTATTCGATATAGGAACTTTTATAATTTGTATTGGGAGACCGCCGCTATAGACGACAAAAAATATTGAAAAAGCAGAAATTTGCACGAATTTTTACTAAGATGTCCTGTCTAATTCATTGTTGTTTTATAATCGTTTTATTTGTAGGATTGATTAAGATATCAGCAGACAAATATGCTGATCTGCAATGTTTAAAGCGATTTTGTGGTCCAACTGCCCAAGAATATCTAACTAATATTCCACATAATTAAGCATTGCTCACTTTTATTAAGAAATACATAATCATTTCGTTACTTTTTTTTTTTTAAATATATCATAAACCAACGTTTGTCATTAAAACCGGGGAAAATCCCGTGAACATTAGCTCATCTACAGAGTTCCACTCTATCAAATGCAGGAAACATGATAAAGTTTCAGGTTATTAAGTTCCTGGTTTAAGACACCAATTCAATTCAAAGTTATAACGAATTTTAACCTAAAAACGCCTGTAACGCCAAAACCATTATTTGTGACTTGGCCGGTTTTTCCCGTGTACTCTTCATATGTCAATAATCCCGAGGATCTCTATGGTAACACATAACATTGTTGAAAAGCAATAATATTATAAGCAAGCGAGAGATGTGGCGCAAAGTTTGTAAAACCTGATTGGAGTCACTTCTTAATTAGAACCAAGGATGATGAAAACAGTTTCCATTTGGAAAACCAAAAGCGTAAAATGAGCCATGAAGATATCCAGATTGTAACAAAAGGTTCTATGCAAAACAAGTTTTTATGAATTTGTGCAGAAACACCAATAAAATTAAAAAGACAAAATATTCTAGATTACTGTAGAGTTTTTCCACATTGTTCCAAAGAGTAATGAAAACTCGACATGAATTAATTATAACGCCTCAGCCGCAAGCGACCTCGATATAGCATGGGGCCTCAAAGATCCTCTATCCTAAGATTAGCTGAGACCGCTTGGGACCGAGGCATTGCAGTTTCCGTAAATCTATTCTGGGTAAATGTCATATTAATTATAATGGGGAGACCTCAAATATTCTCCATTCAAGGATTAGCAGAAACCTTTTGCAGTATTTCTTATTATTAGGAGAACCAAAAACATGCAAACGTATATTTTTTTCATACGCCCGAGAAAAGAATGGACTAGACAGAAATTTATTTCAGACCAAACTATGAATTTTGAGCCGTATTTGTTAGAGCATATTTTTGCTGATTTTATCTATATGAACATATATTGCATATTGTATATTGCATTATACATTGCAATTTACGGAATTATATAATTTCTTTTTTCAAATAAATTATTCCAAATAAATGCATATTTTTAATGCATATTTTCAATATTTTATTCTGCAAAAGTTTCAATTTGATATAAAGTTACCGTGAAGTTAAAGTTCTGTAAAGAAAACTATGGTAACAATGGTAATTCCCTATTCGGTCATCACTCGGTGGATCCCCATTCTACCGGGTGACATATTTGCCGTAAAACATTTAGAACGGAAGGTGTTCTTGTGTTCCTTGCGAGTGTAAGTATTATATATTTACATTTCAAGTGATTAGAAAAGAGGAAGTAAGAGTAAAAATTTATTTGAAATTGTAGTAGTAGTACAAATTGGAAATTATTGTAGAATTATGCCGAAACTGAAATCGTCCATGTCAGGAAAATTATCCCAATAGGTGCGTGAATATGTATTCAAGATTGATGGTAAAATACTTTTTTGCGAAGTGTGCAACAAATCTGTGTCAATCGAGAAAATATTGTCTGTAAAACAGCGTCTTGCAAATTTTTCACACATAGAACTAGAGAAAAGAAATAATGAGAAGAAAATTACTTAGGATTTTTTGCTGAACGTTCCATATCCAGATCAAAGGATTTTCAATTTGCAGAAGATGTGCAACAAAAAATTATTATCGTTCCTAGAATAATACATAGAGTACAAAGTGCCATCAGAAAATACCCGTCGCACAAAATATGTTAAAGAACCTTACAAAAATACCATAGAGTCATAGACCGAGTCAGAAGGGCATCAACGGTCTTTTTTGGTGGATTACAATCGACAAAACAACAGATGCAACAGGAAGATATGTGGCAAATGTCATTATTGGTATTTTGAATCATGATGAGTTGATCGCTAAACAACAAATTTTGTTTCGTGTTTGATAAAGCGAATCATAGCACTATTGCAAGGCTTTTCGATGACTTTATTAAGATTTTGGATGAGACTTTTAACAGAGACATGATTTTACTCTTTGTATCAGATGCTGCTATATGGTAAAAGCAGCTCAGACCATACATATGTTTTATCCAAAAGTGGCACACTTACCTTGTCTTGCACACAGACCACATCGAGTTTGTGAGCAAATTCGAGGTATGTACACCAACGTCGACCGGCTTATCGCCAATGAGAGTATTTTTAAAAGCGCCTTGTCTTACTCTTCCTCCACAACCAGTAACTTCTCGAAATAATTGGGAATGTGTTTGATGCATTAGATGAAGAAGACGTCAATCAAAATTTTAAAGCACCTACTAAATGACAATACAATAAAATCAGACTTGATTTTCATTGCATCAAATTATGGCTACCTTGGAGTATTAATAAAAACATTGGAAACAGCAGGGCTTCCGCTTTTTACACAGGTTGAAGTAATGACATAATTACTGCTCAGGACTAAATTAATGGCATAAACAGTGAAGGTGCTAAGTTAGTAAAGAAATAATAGCTATGGTTATTTCAAAAAATCACGGTTTTTCTGAAATAACCTCACTACTAGCATTTAAATTTGCACCTATAACTTCAGTGGAAGTAAAACGAAGTTTTTCAATGTATAAGAATGTTTTACGAGCAAACAAATATTGTAATCAAAATTTATGCTAATCCTGTTTCTGTTTTATTTTCTATTTGTAACTTTTTAATTGTTATAAGTCGAACTAATAAATATCTCGTGTATAGAAATAGATCTCATTTTTCATTTACTTTGTTTAATCTCACCTCAAGACCTTAAACTCCTCAATGATAAATTTTGCTGAGATTTTATAGATTTGCTGATATCATATTAACTGTCACGCCTCGGCCGCAAGCGACCTTAGCTTAATATAGTAACCTCAAAGATCCTCCAACCCAAGTTTAACCGAGGCCAGTCACAGTATGCGCTGTTTAATTTAGCATCGAAGTAGTATTACAAATCCTTCAAACTCTATCCTAGGTTTACCCGTAGTCCCTTGCGGCTAAGGCACTCCAAGATGTGTTAACCAGTTAACCTGTTTTCATGGATGTGGTATTAATTGAACCACCTCGGCCGCAAGCAACCTCGGCTTAATATGGATATCACAAAGAGTATCTCGTTTAAGTATAATATGCGTTATTTAACACCGGAGTACTTTTAATTGCATCGCTTCAGTCTAGTCTTACAATCAGAAATCCTACAACCGCTGTTCTAAGTTTAGTCGAGATGGTGCAGTATATGTTATTCTGTTTTGGGCGAATATGGTGTTAATTGTAGCGATTCAGCCGAAAGCGATCTCAGCTTAATAAGGAGATCTCCACGATCTTCCACACTAAACAACACAATATGCGTTATTTAAATTAACTTTAGACTGCTTTCAAATACAAAAATTATTTTAATAACAATCGAAATACATACTTATAGGGAGTAATTTGCCAATGTATTTGTCGGGGTGACGGCTTTGCATAAGACGGCACATAACAAACCAAATTATATCTTTGTAATTTTATAACAAAATAGATATTGTATTTGGAACGAAAATTTGAAGATATTCAACCAATCTTGTACTTTTAACATCATTTCGAAAAAACCGACTATGTATTACGAAAACCATATTAACTGAGCTGAAAAAAGCATCAATGGTCAATGTGCACATTTATATTTACGTGTAGCATTTCTGAAAACACATTAAATCTAAATTACACAGTACACGAGTATAATTGTAATTTTTATACAATTTACGACTTGGAATTATTATCATATTCCTCGATTACGTGACACACGTTGTAAAGTCGAAATTCTTCGAGATCGGAGGAATTTCAATAACTTGAACGAGAAGAAGAGGTTGTCTATATAAATTCGATATCTTCGGGTGCGTGTTACGACAGATAGCAAGTCAACAACATATTTGCCTCTTAAACCAAATTCGGATTTATTTTTTGATGTGTTGCCCCTCCAAATGGAATGAAGTGAAATAAATATTCAAGGTCGAAATCAATTAGTGTCATTTATAAATTATTGGAAATACTCCAAAATTTCATGTAAATTTAGGTCCACATCCAATAAATTCCAGTAACCCTCAGGCAGTTCTTGGAAGACATCAAAGCCTAAAATTCTTGAAAATCCCTCAACTTTCCAAGAAACACTCGGAAATCTATTGATAATGGTTCGGAAAACACTCCGAGTATACTCCAGTAAGATATTTGATGTCACCCATAAACCCTTAAGCACTTCTTGAAATAACTTGAAACTACATTGATATTTAATGGAAAACTTTCTAAAATTCTTGGTAATCTAAAAATATATTTCAAAATTCCTAGAAAATACTTTCAAATGTTTTCAAATCTCGAGCAATTTTTAATAAATTGCCGAAATTCCCCAAAATACTAAAAAATCTCTGAAGTATGCAGGAAATGCCGGGAAATGTATTGGTAATAAATCTCAGAAATGTGTAGATAGTTAAAGAAGTTTGGTTAAAATTTTTTTCTGAAATCGACTCAAATATGTCTGTATGTATAGAAATTGTCTAATATTTCTTGCAAATAGTTGAAAAGTTGGTAAATTTTAGAAATCCTCAGAAAGTTCTTGGAAGGCGTCAGGTATCAAGTTTGGAATCGCACAGGCTTTTCTTTTATAAATATTTATAAGAACATATAAAAATTGTTTAGATATTGGAGCGCCATCGCAACCTCCATAACGAGAAAACTGCTGGATATAATGAAGATGGTTGCGTTAGAAATTTATTTGTTTAATAATATTCTAGTCTGATTTTTTGGCATGGAATGTTTCCATTTCTTCATAAATGTAAAATTTATTGGATTCTTTTAGGATATAAATCAAGAAAATAGTATTGTCATTAATTTTGGTTTTTTTATGCTCACATTATTCCTGTAAACACTACATTGTTATTCTTTAAGTAGTGTTTATTTGCAATTTATTATCAGATGTTTAAATTTGATATTATTTTTGTATTCCATATTATTAAAATCCGATCCTTTCTTTTCCAGTGCTGTTGTTGAATGCAGCTGTTTTGTGAGTCACGTTACTAATTCTGATGGATAATCTTTCTTCAGATCTGGATTGAAAAAATCAAAAATGGTAAAATCAACCTAAATAATTCAAAGTATTGTTCAAAGTTTATAAACTTCACTCAAAGACGAACTACACCCAATCTAAACTATTACTTCTAATCTCCAAAAAAGTATAGCACTCTATAACTACTCTAGAAAATCAGAACTCTTTTCAAAATAGAAAATAATCGGTTTTTTTTTTCTAAATCACCATGGCTTTTAAACTCTTTTAGTACTTTTGCAGAAAAGATTTCAGTATGGCTGTTATGATTGTTGTAACTATATCGGTTTTCGTAGCTTTTGCTTTAATTCCGTACTAATTACTAAATTTTTCGGAGCCCGTTGTTAAATTCATGGCATTACTTTGTCATCTATATCTCTGATCATTTAAGAGATTTGTTAATGTATTCTTAATAACATTATTAAGTAGACTTGAAACCCTTACGTATTAAAATTAAAATACAAAGGTATTAAGCCTCTTCACATGGACTTATATCACATTATAAATATACATCCAATTATAGACGTTGAGGTACAACTTGGGGTAAGTGTTGTACCCAAACCATAATTATTACAGATGTCCCGATCATCAATGACCTACATAATACAACTAGATGTACACAATAAAGGTGTAGAGATCTGCATTTCGCCTACATACAATCTGTAATAGTAGTATTATTCTACCTATAATAGTAGACCGTCCATGAATGGCCTCTTTATAACATGGATGTTAGTAGTAATTGTAGGTATTGCCTGCATAAAGCTTTTATGGTCATATCAATAGCAGGAATATTCTAAACATAGCCTGCAAATACTTTTAGAAAAATCTACAAATTATCGCTGAATAAAAATGAATAGATAAATATCACGAATATTGTGAAAATACAAGTGGTTATATGAATCTATGTCAAGTGGACTCTCTATGTACGGATTATTGACGCCTGCTTATAGCTTTGGTGTTGGTAGTATTTCTATAGTATCCTATGCGGTGATGATCCACTGGAAATATCTAGAACACGAAACGTTTAACTGTAACACTTGGAAAGCTTCAGTGGTCCATTATAAATAATATTCCGTCCAATATTTCATGAAGTGAGTGTATAGTTCAAGAGAATTTATATTAACATCTGAATTCTATACCGACTCATACATGACATGAAGGATGTAATAAACATTACTGCACCCTTCCAATTTAATACGCAATTCAATCGAAAAGACCAAATCAAGACATATTCTGCGTCTGAAGAAATTAGCTAATACACAACGTATTTATTCTGCCGAAGTTCGCCAAATATGGACGCAAAGATAGAGCAGAATCCTGGAATCTGTTTGCAAAAGATTTGGAAGAGAAGACGATTGCCTTCGGTTTCTTAGGGTTCAGTGAACTTCAGTAATACTCTTAATCACATAGTCAAAATCAAAAGGTGGTGTCTAGGCCCAGTCTCTTGCATCAATAAAAAAAAGAAGCAGGTTGTGATAAACAACTCTGATAGCTACAATAATGTCAACGGAAGCAAAAACGAACAGCTTAAAATCATACAACTTTGCAAGTCATCCACAATCTTAAGTGGAGCAGTGACTGCACTATGATGTTTACGGAATTCAAATTGATAAGGACCTAAAAGTGAGTTATCCACGTAGTACCCACAAGTTGCTCGCAAATAATGTGCTCAAGTTCCTTCGAAAGGTACTTATGAAACTAATAATATCGAGATAAGCTGAAAACGGTGGGATGATTTAGGGCGAAATAGATGAATCTATTAAAAAGTTAAAGATATGAATCCAAGAGGAAGGTAATAAGTTTCTATGTTTCTTAGTCTCTATGTAAAAAGCTATGTAAAAATTATGAGTCCACATGTGGGTGTGGGAGTATATCTATGTCTTTATCACTCCCCTGATAAAGACATAGATATAGAGACATTTTGTAAAAGTGGTTATATGTGTTGCATAAATGTCGACAAGATTCGTTGTTGTAAAGATTTGGAAAGAGCAGAAAACGCCACATGGCCTCATAAAGACGCTCCTTCATAACGATTGTTATGTTAACGTTAAAGCAGGCAGAAGGCACCACGAGTAAGATGGAGATAATGATTTGTGCGCTCCAATAATAATTTCAACAAATATTAGCGCAGAAAATATAGGAATATCTCTTACACTTAAAACTAGGTATGATATATAACTGTCACAGTCCTGTATTATTTTGAGATAAGATGTAAAAATGAGAATTCAAAATTGAGTTTCCAAGTTTCAGAACTGCTGATCGAATTCAATTAATCCGATTAAATAATAGTATTATGTTTGCATTAACATTCCATTTGGAATTAATTAATTATATAATGCATTATTATGGATCAATAACAATAATAAGTTAAACTAAAATTTTGTGTCAAAGTTACAAATAACAATTAATGGAATATAAAAACAAAATGTGAAATGGTGTTCTAGTGTTTATCACAATAATATAGTCCAAATACAAAATACGATAATAATGTACGCAAAATACGTTTGGGATCGTTTCGTTTGATTTAAATATAATTTAGAAGAAACTTTTTAAAAGAATAAGTAAGCATAAATTTAAATATTAAAATGAATATATTGTAAAATAACAAACCTTCCTGTAGATGTACAAATCTGCAGGCCACTCTGTTGCAGAGACCGCGATTAAAATCTTGGCACACCGGGAGGGTGTCCAGCAACTGTAAAAAAAGAAGAACCCAAAAAAATTGGAATATTAGTATCGATGAATTTTCATTTTACAAAACGAAATAATTAAAGAAATTAAAAAAATAATAAAAAACGAAACAAAACGAAAAAATAATAAATAAAGAAACACTAAAGTTAAGTAATAGTATATCGTAAATTTTTGTAAACAATCATAATAAAGAAAAAATAAAAATAAATAAATAACATACGTGGATGTGGTGCGCATGTATGCATTCGTACAATAAATAATTTAAAAAAGAATAAAATTGAGTATAATAAAGTAATAAAAAGATGATAGATGCAAAAAGTTTTTTTTTTGTAAAAAGTATCATACATAAGCACTACTTATTTTGATTTTTTTTAATTATTATTAAATTAAAGAAAAAAAGTAGAGAAAACCTAAGATTACTTAACGATTAAAATGTGACAAAAACAACAAGAGTACTAAATTTGATTTATTTTTGGGTAACTTCTCGCGTAGTATCTATCTAAGTTCATGCTAAAAAAACATTATGTGGTTAAAACACTTATTTTTTTTAACTAAACTCTGTGTATTACATCATATCCAAACATTCTGCACATAATTTAAAACTTTATTACTAAAACAGGTAATATAATTAAGACTTTCACAATTTAATATAGTAAAACTTTTCATAACACTACTCAACTTGGAAAAAGCAAAAAGCTTTATGTTTATTTTAAGAACATTATTTCTAAATTTCACAAAAAAAAGATCCAAAACACAAATATACTATTTTGAGTAAATTTAATAAATCCAGAAAGTTATGATTTGAATCTTACAATTAAAAGCTTTCTAAAATAAAAAAAATCTTTTGAATATAAACAGGATCAAGATCAAAGATAAAAATTAAAGCGGATACATAAAAATGGATTTTGCTAAATAAATAATTAAAACGTAGTTTAAAGCAAAGTGTTAATAATAATGATAAGGTCTCGTATACAGGTGTCCCAGATTTTTAGCCCACATAAGTTGGAAATAATGAAAAAGTGAGAAGTTGGTTAAAATTAAAAAAAAAAAAGTTTATGTATTGCAATATTTCCAAAATTTTCCCTAAAATATAATTCATGTTACCAATTTCGTTAATTAATTAATTAATTCATCATCATCAGCGAAATAATCTTAATGACTCAAGAAGAATATCAAAAATGGGAATAGAAACGCAAATATGTCAGAATTAAAATGCTTAAATCAATTAAATATATCTACAAAATAACGATTGAAAGTTATTCTGTTTAAAGGTTAATTGTTTAAAGAGATTCTTATACTTTTTTGTCATCGTGTTTAATCTAAATATAAGATAATAAAATTTTTACATCAGTTGAATTATTCATTTTCTGTTGTTAGTCGTCACAGAAAATATTAGGATTTGTTCAATACTTAAATGTGTGAATTAAGAAAACGTGATGATATTATAATCTATATAGAAAATAAAATATTGAGAACAATTGAATAGAACGTAACCCAACCCAACAGCAAAATATTCAAAAATAACATTAAAGTTCGATATTTAAGTGCTACAATTTTTGTAGTAACAAATAGGCTCTCAGAGGTGCTTGAAAGTCTTGAAAAGCACTAGTTGATATTGATAAAGGTTGAGAGATATTAAGCAGTATTAAAGATCTGCTTAATATGAAGGTTTTGGAGAGTGGAGATGTGAAGATCTATCGCGAGAGATTTTGGACGTTTTGGAGTTTAAATTAAATAATGCTGGGAACAATTGAAAAGTAGTGGAAAATATTGAGAGCATATTTGCTGCGATTAAGGATGTAGTGGACGATATTGAGAGCCATTAATAACATTAGAAAGACATTTGAGAGGCAGAGAATGGAGTTGGGTTGGGAGATATTTAGAGGTACTTGGAGATACAAAAAAGTTTTGGACAGTGAATTGGATGACATAGAAAAGCTTTGAGAAGAATTGAGAATTATTAGTAACCCCATGAAGTACTGGGAGTAATTGAGGTTGACTTGGAAAATGTTGAGTCTCATAAAAAATTATACAAAATTATTGATATAGTAGCGATTTGAATTGCATTGGCAGTGCGTATTGATATAGAGCAATTAAGGTTGAGTTAGGAAATGTCAAAATCCATAAAAAAGTTATACAATGGTATTGACATGCAATGAGAGTCATTGAAAACCATTGGGAACGATTGGTGTTGGGTTGAAGGACATTGAAAATTATTAAGTATTCCAAGAAGAAGTGGGAGTAATTGAGTTTGAGTTGGGAAACTCATAAAAAGTTATGACAAGTATTAATATCTTAGAAGCAAGTTAGGTTGGCAGTTAACTCCTCAAGTAATGCAATTGAAAAGTATTGGAAGGCATTGAGAAGTTTTAGAGATTGAATTAGAAATGGTGTTTGAGGTATTGAGAAATATTAAGAATTCTGAGAAGAGTACTAGGAGATATTAAGTAATATCCGAAGTCATAAAAAGCTATAAAAGGTATAAATTTATTAAATTAAATTAAAAGGTTTTAGAGATTGTTAGATAATATTTTGAGAGATATTAATAACTACTAAGAATCTTTAGAAGTGCTGAGAACAACTAATTTCCAGATTACAAATTTTGAATGCCATAGGAAGTTATTGAAATGTGTTGAGATCTAATGATAGCAATTGAAAATTATTAGGATTCATGAAGAGTACTAAGAGCTATTTGAGATGGGTTGTGGGAGCTATACAAGTATTGCAATTTAACAGTAGTATTTTGAAAAACCATTGGAATCGATTAGGGTTGGGTTGGCAAATATCGAGAGGTGTTGGTAGTGAGTAGTAGGAGGTATTAGTATCGAAAGGATTTGGGCATTAAATTGGATGACGTCGAAAACTTTTGAGAGGTAATAACAAAAAGAATCTTGAGCAGTACTAAAAACAATCTACGTTATTGAAAGACCTAATTAGTAGATCTAGTTAATACCTAATAAATGGGGTTATGTTAGCAACTATTGAGAAGTAATGGGAGCCATTGTAAAGTTTTATGTTATATTTTCGTGGAAATACTGTGAAGATCCACAGAGGGAATACGATTTTCAGCGAGCCATAAATACTCATAAATACTATAATAGATGTAAATCATAAAGTGGCATAGACCAACTGTCAACCAAACCATTACCCAACCCAATTACTTCTAGTACTCTTCAATTGCTCTTAACAGATCCTAACTCATCCACAACTATTCCCAATCTCTCCCAAAGTCCCTTCATATTTTCAAATACCTCTCATTGGCTGTCCATATCTACCAACTTAACACCACCCCAATTGCTTCCAATGTCATGATACTTTATGACATCTCAAAACATAACCAAAATCTTCAATCGCTCCCAAAATCTTATAAATTCATCTAAATTCATCGGCAATTCCTTTTTTACCACCAATTTCAGTAGGTCTATATAACCTACAAATATTACTACTCTTTTCAGAACTATCCTAGTATCTTATCACAGTACAGATATCATAATAGTGGGAGCAGCAAACCCTGAGTGTTATATTACGTATGGCTGTTCTATATGTACCAAGTATCTACTAATATATATAATACTCTTACAATGTAGCATCTCTAGATTCTTTCTGTTAATGACTTCTATTAAAGACTTGTAGAGTCAAATTAAATTTGAGCAAAGGTTATCACTTCGGCAAAAAAAGGAAGCATACTGGTCTTAGTAGTCATATCCAGGTTATAGTGGCTAACGACTTTAATATCAGGCTTGAAATGCGTAAATGTGTAGATAATACCTTCATGATTGTGTCACAAGACAAATAATCGCATGTTATTGATTGTACTAGATAATTAAGAAGCAAGAATATTTCAAACCAATTCGTTGTCGGTAGAGTTCAATTCTTTGATAATTTTTCCAGCTGCCATTAGATTCTCTAATGTGTAGCGACTTGGATACATGTATGTTTAATGTATTTCATATTAATTTCGTTGTTTGCTTTGAAGAATATTTTCCCAAACATATTTTCAGAAACTGATTTCTTGCAGTTTGTAATGTAAAATTGATGATCTTATTAATTCGGCCTTAAAACAAAGCAAAATAACTTCAACTTTTTCATTTAAACCAAATAATTAAGTTTTATCACATGAGTTTAATATATTTGCATTTCAGCCCATTTTCAATAAAATTCCTGAATTATAGATGTCAGAAACGGATGAGATATCTGACTTAATATTAATCACGATGATCTATAATTTATAAAGCAATATTAGCTATTCGCCCCCAATCAGCTGTGCAAAATCAAGCGTAGTGGACGCAAAAATTGGGTACAGAATGTCGGCAACGATGAAAGATAGAAGCTCAAAATTAGCACACAATGACAATAATTAACAGACGAAAGGACAATTGATGATGTGAAATTGATCAAGATGATACGATAAGATAAGAGATATAATGAATCAGGAATGAGCTACGATATGTTTACAAGGAATAAGGAATAAGTTGTTGAGGTTGGAAGACGAATATGGTTTGCGATTCGGTTTAACATCATGAATGAACTAGAAAAGAGTTCTTTTCAACAGATTTTTCAATGCTGTAATAGTACCTCCTTCAAGATTCGCGTATTTTCGACTATAATGTATAACATGAGTCTTTAGAATCCAATATATTTTTGTAATCGAAGTAAAAAATTCTCACAAAATATCTTTTTGATATCTCAAAACATTTTAGATTGATTGCAATACATAGATTAGAAACACTTTGTCTAATTTTACCCAACTCTATGTCATTTCAAATTTCCCCATAGTGAATTAATTAATTAGAACACCTGTATAAATAAGTGTCCATGCAGAATGCTTGAAAGATTTTTGATTTCTTTTTGTTTAAGCGATAAAAATTAAAATTAAAACGGATTGTGAGTAGTAATAAAAAATAAAATATAAAAAAATGAAATAAAAGCGTTTTTAAAAAATGTTTAACTACTGGAGAAGCATAAAAATATTTAAAGTTTACTTGATAAAATTATGTTAGATAT